CAGCCATGGAAGGACTCACTGAATTTAAGTCTAGGGATGGAAGTAGAAAGAGAACATGAAGAAGGACTTTAGCATCTATTATATAGAGATAATTAAGCCTTGCTAGAATCTTTCAGAGCAAGAATTTTTTTCTTTTTTCTTTTTTTGAAATTTGTTCTTTTTTTTTTTTCATTCTAAAAACTCAAGCAAAACTTGAAGTTATGACAAGGAGCCTAGTTGTTAGGAAAATAATTAAGGACTAACACGTTCAGAAATGATGAGAATAAAAATCCTTTTTTCTGTGTTTAAAGTTTTTTAAATATCCAAAACACTTTTTTTTTTAAAAAGGAAGAAGGATGGGAGGAAGGAAGAAGGAAGGGAGTGAGAGAGGAAGAAGGAAGGAAAGGAAAGGAATGGAAAGGAAGGGAAGGAGGAAGAAAGCAGAAAAGAAGGGAAAGAAGGAGAGAGGGAGGAAGGGAGAAAAAAAGGAAGGAGGGAAAGAGGAAGAAAGGAAAGGAGGGAGGGAGGGAAGGTGTGAGGAAGGAAGGAGGAAGGGAGAGAGGGACAGAAGGAGAAAGGAGGAAGGGAGGAAAGAAGGGAGTTTCATTTTCATTATAGTTCTCAGAAGACAGGAGGGCAGCTGAGCTTAGAAGAAAGCCCAGGAGATTAGAAGGAAGCCAGAGTGACTTCCCTACCACTGCCCAAACAGGCAATAATGCAGTCAGGACCAAAACAGCTTCCCAGACACTTACCCTGTGATCTTGATGGACCACAAATCCCTAAGTCATTGGTCCTCCAACAAAACGACCCCTTCCTCATCCCTTCTTGGAGAGCAAGTGATACTCTAAGCCCTCATTCCATGAAAGCAGCCTCAGATCACAGCAGTTATTAAAACGGGCTCTCAAAGAAAGGCAGGGGGCCAAGAAGGGGCTTCTTTGGGAATCTCTAGGCCAGACCCTTCCCCAGTGTTCCTTTACCCCTGCCTGGGAACAGAGGTGGAATCTGAGCAGACAGGCCGGTGCAGGGGGTCCGCCTCACACAGGGACGAGAAACAAATGGGGCTTCTGCAGCCCCCCGCAGGGCACACTGAGAGCTGTGTAGAGAGCTCCGACTTTCTGCTAACTTGCCCCCTGGTGCTGAGGACTTCCTGGCAGCGGGGCTGGAGATGTGAGTGTGGGATCACGGGCAGAAGGGGAGGTGCGCTATAAGGCAAGTAGAATCGCTCACCTTCTTTAGAGAAGAAAACAAGAATCACAAGGTCTCAAGCGTCTGTCCCTCCAGGGGGACTGACTCCATGTGTCAATGGAAAAATAAAGCACAAGTGCAAAAGGGCCTAGAGAAGTCCAATGTGCTACGTACAACTAAGAATAAATATATGCTATCAGTTAAACCAAAAAAGAGCGGGGGGGGTGCCTAGGCAGGTTCATGGTGCAGGTGAGGTCAGGTTGGGGAAGCAGCACAGTTAAAGTGAAAAGCAGAAATGATTCAAATGCCTCAGGGCATTAGTGATGGATGCTGGTATCTGAAGGTTTGAAGTCAGTTTCTAGTTTCTGGTCTAACAGTGGTTGGTTGCGGGGGGGGCTCAGGCAGACCCACAAATGAGTTTGGAGAGAGACTCAGACTCGACAGGCACTTGAATCCCAAGAAAAAAGACAGGAAGGAAATATTTTGTCTGCTCACTCAGTGCTGGTGTTCTTCTACCCTTGACCAAGGGGCTCGGTTATGCAATGACGGTCTGTGCTCATTCTCCCAGGGCCTGGTGCCTCTGGGCCGTGGGGTGGCCGGGAGGTGGCAGCCCAGAGGGCACAGGTGGGTCCCCAGAGGTCCCTGGCTGTAACCCCCTTGTGCACATGGTCCCGTCTCTCCAGTTCTCCAGCCCCCTCCCATACAACGGGGTGATTCTGTACCTCCTACCTGGTCTACACAGGGATGATCCTCAGAGGAGTATGGGCACCACCCCCGAACCCAGAGGGAGTGACCAAGATAATCTCGTGGATCCTTCCCTACAGACCCAAGATCTCAAGAAAGCTGTTCCACTGACCACTTGTGACCCTATTTCCAGGAATGGGATGGGCAATAAAGCAGAAGCCATAGACCAGGGGATAGGCCCCGGCCTAGGGGAGCAAGGCAGCATGACCCCGCAAAGGTGGGAAGCTGATGGAGGGTTCTAGAGCTGGAGAAGGCGCAGAGCACAGATCAGAGTCCTTGGGGTGGGGGGAGCACCAAGATCCCATGATGCTTCGGGACCCTGGGCAGCTCTCTAATCCTTGGTTGTTTCTTAGCAATCACAGCAGCAGAAGCAGACTCAGAACCAGGCCAGAGTGGCCCTGCCCTGGCCTCTTCTGACATCCCCCTCTCCAGAGGGTACGAGGGCTACAGGGGCAAGAAGATGTGAGCTCGAGAAGGGATCCAAAGAGAGAAGAAAACATGGCGGACCTGAGGCAGGGGAGCACTCTGTAGGATGAGGGAGGACTCCTGTCCTCACACCGCTGTCCAAACCTCCGAACGTCCAACGCCAAGAGTGAACCCTGGTGTGTACTGGGGACACTGGGTAACGATTTAGCAATGTAGGTTCAGCAACTGAAACACACGGACCCCTCGGTGGGGGACATGGCAGTGGGGAGGCTGTGTGCACATGGGGACGGGGTGGAGGGGGTAGATGGGAAATATCCACACATTTCTCTCCATTTTGTTGTAGGACTTAAAGCTGCTCTTTAAAAAAGCAGTCTGCGTTGACTGAGGGGCAGGGGAGAATGAGTGGGGTGAGGAAAGGAGCAAGGGGAAGCGAGCCCATCATGGTAACGGAGGAACAGGAGAGAGGAGATCTGCGAATGTCTGCTGGGGACCCTACGTTCTAAACAGCCTCATGGTCTGTGGGGCCTGCCTCCCTCCAGCTGTCCTGGGCTCCTGGGAACAGGTAGCCTGGTCGTCCCCCGCCTTGGCTCGAGCAGATATGCGAGCATTGCCTGCCAAAAACAGCTGAAGACACATCCCTGGGCCCTGCCTTCTTCCAGAGTCATCCAGGGACCCCAGGGCCATAGCGGCAACATCCAGGCACCTGGGCCACTTTCTTGAGATGTCAGTTATTTCTGAGATGACAGTACCTTCCTTTAGATTCCCCAGATAGATCAATCATTAATACAGTTACTGAATGCCAGACAAGGCCTCATCAGAGTCCCAGTTGTGCTGCCTGCAGCCCCGCTCAACCGTGCCCAGGTGCAGCGCTCCTCATTCCTCCCCTAACCCCACTCTTACATCCTCCTCTTCCATTGTTTTAAAGTCACTTAGCATCAAGAAGGATTTCAGGTGAGCCCTGCTTCTTTGTGTCAGGGTCCCTTCCCCAGAACACTGGACAGGGAGGTCTGAACGGGCAGCTCATCTACGACAGCGATGTGTCCACGGCCAGCACCCCGTCCTAGCCCCACATCAGGGTGCCCTCAGCCCCCCACACAGCCACTTCCAACCTTCACCCCCCTTCTCACACCACCCACACCCACTTCTTACCTCGACTCCAAAAGGGATCTCCCAGTTCCAAAGACCGGGGAACTCTCCCTGCACTGAATGCCCTCAACAGTTCAGAACCTAAAGGATCCTCTTGTCCCCTCACCTCCCGTCCCCGATGCCAAGAAGCGTATCTGTGTCCAGGCCTGGTCTCGGGGCTTTCCATCCGGCTGGGAGGACGGGTTATTCGTCGTTCTCCCCCAGGCCCACCCCTCCCCCTCCTTGTTCACTAATCTCCCCTTTCCACGGTCTTCTCCCTCATTACAGGAAGCATTCGGAGAGAATGCTTCATCTTCCATCTGGCTTCAGCCTCCGCAGCTGGGCTTCCATCCCACCCAGACAGCTCCTGCCAAGGTCGCTAGTCACCTCCTAATAGTTACATCCGACCCCGCGTTCCACTTCTTAGTTTCAGTGACCTCTTGGAAGCATCTGGCACCACTTAGCACTTCCTTTAAACATTTTTTAAAATACTCTCTACTCCTTTGGTTTCCACGATGCCATCCCTCAAGACTCTTCCTGAGATCCTCCTGCCTTGTACGCAGGCTTGGCCTTGATGCCGGTCCCCTTCCTCCCCCAGACGTCAGGGTGCTACCCTCTCTTCTCACACTCGAGGCACTTCTGGGGAGGACATGAACTTTACAGCTTCAGGCACTACCCTCAACATGGATAAATCCCAAGTCTGAACACTCAGTGTAGACCTCTGCCCAAATTTCAGCGAGAACACACCACAGTTGGACAGCTCCATGGAGAGTATGGGTGTCCACACTCCGCGTGCCTGCTGGGCCAGCTCATGGAACCAGGCACTCCATCCAGACCCCCGGAGCATGTTCCCACCTTCCCCTCTGCTCACGTGCTGTTTCCCCTCTCATTGGAGCCAAAGGCAATTCACGAGCAGGACAGCAGGAAACAGGAAGGAACTTGAGACTCAAGAGTCAAGGTTCAAACCTTATTCCTACTACTAAGCCGTGTGACGTGAACAAGTCATTTGGTCTCTGAGACTCAGGGTCATGGGAATAACATCAAGTACATAACAGGTTTGTGCAGCATCAATAAGATGCTGTATGTAACAGTGTCCTAGCATGGTTCCTTCCCAGAGTAAGCTTGGAAGCACGGATTGTGACAGAAGGATATCCATTCCTTATTTCCTGGCCTAACTCCAGAAATATGCTTCCCTTCTGCACCAGTGAATCTCTTCCTTTAATTATTTCTCCACTTTTATAGACTCAACTTGTGTCCCCTCCCCCAGCTTGCTCATGGTCTTAAAGACCGAGGAGGGACACTTTCCTCCTAACATTCCTTCTGTGGAGTTTCCTCGGCTGCTTCCTACAGAGATTGCTGAACAAATCCACGAGTAAGTAATGAGAGGGTAACAAGGGCTTGTACTCCATCCTCTGGCCAAACGTGAAACTTACCTGAGAGGCTCTGAGCACAAAGAATTTTCGAAAAAGAGGAGACAGAAGGGACACGGGAGTATGGAGGGGGGCGGGAGGAGAGCGAGGGCATGGCCCAGGGCGCCTTACCTTTGCACTGTAAACCCTGCCGTAGGAGGCCCCAGAGCAAGGACCCACAGTGGTCGCAGAAGGTGGGGACCTTGTAGTTGTGGATCCCGAACTTGTGGGGCATGTTGACGCTGAACCGCTGTGAGCCCACCTGCAGGGAAGGCAAAACACAGGGTCACTACCAAGCTCTCTCACATGGTGGCCTGCTTACTGCTGGAGCTCCTACAGGCCGGCTTTCCCAGAAGGCCTGGCCACCGAATGGGGCAGGTGGGAGCTTGGCTCAGAAAGCTGCCCCGAGAAACCAGGTGCAGAGAAACTTCTGGGGCCTTTGCTCCTGATGCCCTTCGCTCACTCCCCACCTGTCTGTTGGACCTTGTGAGGCCAGGCCCACTGCCCGGTGAGGTCCCCCCAGGACAGTGGGCTTCCATCTCTCATGGCACATGGCACACAGTGCACACCTCACATTTTGGCTGTTCACGAGATGTCACCGTGTTTCTCAAGGCTGCTTTATGCCTGGAGGCCGCAGCGAGGCCGTTTTGGCCACATGGTAGTAGATGGATTCTACAAAGACCCTGAAGCCCCAGCACAGCTGCGGAAAGTGAAGGTCTCCAGTTAGGACAGGCAGTAGCTGTGGTGAAGCCTGCTAACCCAGAGCTGTGCGCGCTAAGGGCACGGAGGTATGGGGACTGCCCACAGGCCAGGCACCAGCATCGCCATTAAACCTCATCGGCACCCCGTGGGGCAGGCGCCCTTGTTGGCCTGAGTTTCCAGCAGGGGAAATTAAGGCCGCGTGAGATTAAGAAGCATGGTGGTAAGCTGATGAGCAGCGGAGGCAGAATCTGAGGCCCACGAGTGTGAATTCAGAGCCCAGGCCTTTTCAGCAGCGTGCTGCCACTTAGGGATTATTTAAAAGGAGTAAAGAGAAGGCGGTAAGGTGGAGGGGGAAGGCCCGGGGTGGGGGGTGCAGTGTATTCTGATCTGTGGGCCTGTGTCTGCCACCAACCACCTGTGAGGTCTTGGAAGTTTCCAGACTTCCTGGGGCTTCAGATTCCTGATCTGGCTGATGAGGATGGCAGCCCCGTCCCACTGAACATCACAGGGCTGCAGGGGGTGGGGGGAGGGGGCGCAGGGGGCGCAGGGGGTAAGACGCACAGAAGTGATGGGTCATTGGCATGGTCCGCCTTTCTGGGTCTCCTCCTCTATGTCCACCTGCTCACCCTGAAAGGCGTGGATCACTGTAGCCACTCTTTTCCTGCAAATGCTGAAGACGTGGTGGACCCACACTGAGAACAGACTTGGGGGGTCCCAGGAAGAGGGTCACAAAGGGATATAAATGACAGACAAAGGTGAAGAGGTGGGGGAGCGCCCAGGAACTCGGAGGTTCAGCTGGGAGCACCCAGAATGCTAAGGCATCAGAGGATGGTGGGCGGAGGACAGGGCATGCACACGAGCCACAGAACTGGAGGCTGTGGAAACAAGCACGAGGGCCGCGCACACACAGGTACACACGTGCACACGCTGCTCTGCTGCGAAGACGTGGAAACGGGGGCCAGTGAGACCAACGCAGAGGCCATGGGAGGGAAGAAGAGAAAGAAAGAACTGGAAGGTGAAGAAGAAAGGAAGGTGATGCAACGGAGAGCCTTGGGCGGTCCCCACACTTGGAAGCCCAGGGAGAGGCGTGTCCTTGGTGCTAACACACAGGCACTAAGCAGGGAGAGAAACTTAGGCTCCCTGGCAGAGGGCTCCCCCGTCTCCCCCCACCCCTGGGGCGTGCAGCAATGCCCTAGGAGCCTGGCCCTGTGAGCCCTGGGACAGGCAAGAACTCCACAAGGCAGAGAAACCCACAGCCCCCATCCTCAATCCTTGGCAACTTCTCTCCTTTGGGACACATGCCACGTGTGGGGACACGCTCCTGGTGTCGTCTATTCGCTGCCAACGGGCCAGGAAGGACAACCAGAAAGCACTTGGTCACAGACTCAGCGGCATACCCGTAGGGCATGGACTCGTTTGGGACTTTTCCCTCCAAGAGATGGGGCGGAGCTATAGAAACCTGTAAGGGCTCGCAGGGGAAGAAACCCGGGAGGTTCTGGAGGGAAGGAATCATGTGTTCCTCTTTGTTCAGTGGCACGTGGCACAGTATCTGGCACAGAGCAGGCAGTGCTCAGAGGATGTCCACAGGACAGAAGGGAGACTGACAGCAAGCCAGTCACCTGTCTTTCCTTTATCTGTCCAAGTAACAAGCGTGACTGTATACTTGGGTCTCGACCCTGCCACAGGAGCCAGGAGGCCCAGGTGGTGAGAACCTGCACTTTCCACTGTGACGGCGGAGCCCCCACAAACAGCTTTGGTGCCCTGGGCTGCCTGCCCTTCAGGGACATGGAAGGTTCCATCCAGGCCATGCCCCCACTGCTTTTCAGAGACTGTGTGAAAGCAAAAGGAGATAAAAGATAGAAGTGTTTCTGATGCCAAGATGCCATTCGGATGAATTATCTTTTAGTAGTAGTGGTCCTGTAAGTTGCCCTTTTTGGAAGCCAAATTATAAGTCCACCTGATTATAAACTTACCTAGCGTCTCTTTGACCCCTAGTTCTAATGCACTATGAGTATCCAGTACTTACCTATTTCACCAAGAATTAAAAGCAGGCCTTTGAAATCCACTGCTATGAACACAGATAACACCCACCCTCACACTCACACTCTCCTTCCAGTCGCTCAGTTAGGAGAAACCCACCCTCCCTGTTGAATTGTCTCACTTCCTTACCCCCAGCAACTTCCCTAAGAGTCAACCTGATACTAGGTTAGAAGATTAAGGGACAATGAAGTCCAGCAGTCAAGGGCTCAGACTCCATGGAACAGACTACCTGGGTGTGAACATGGCTCCTTCTCGTACTAGCTATATGACCCAGGGCAAGCTAACATGACCTCTCTGAGCTTCCACTCTCCCTGTCGCAAAATGAAGATAGTCGCATAGCTCTTATTAAGGCCGTTTTGCGATTAAATACCGTATGACAAAGTACTTAAATCGACACACGGTAAGTACCCCATGAACGTCGGCCGGTATTATTACTGTGGTTATTCCCGCCTCTTAAGGGTTTCTTGGGTTTGTTAATTCCTCTCCGTTCCCCCCATCACCTCATAAAGACAAGGTTCCCGCTTACGTGTCATATCTCTCTCCCTGTTTATGAGCAGTGTGGAGCCAGTGACAGGTCACTTAGCGACGTCACTGTTCCGAGGAGATAATGACATAAAGCAATTCACATGTTCCTCGCAGGCTTTAGCTCTGGGATCGCGCGGCTCTTGCCCTAATAGCCACGGACATGACACGGACTCTGAGCCACGGTCATCTGCAGACCGTGCCTCCGGCTGGAAGGCTGTGGAGAACTCCCTCAACTCTGATCACCACAATGGAGAAAGCCAGGGGATCTCAGAGAGATAAGGAGTTTCTCAGGAACCACTGAGGGGCCAGTGGAGGGGAGGAGTGGCAGTAAAGAAAGCCCCAAATTTCAATGTTATAAATAGTTACCTCATCGGGAGTTTCCTGTTTCTTTAATCCAGCACACTTCGTAATTATGAGCTCATGGCATCGCTTGTGGACCACGCAAGTGCAAACTGCAAACAGCAAAAATGGGAAGGCTGAGCGACAAGTGGGGGTAGAAAGCTTCCACCCCCAAGATTCTGGTCTCCATGGAGGGACGCCGGGAGCCACACCCCTCCCGAGTCTTAACGAAAGACCCTGGCTGAAGCCTGGCAGGCTGAGTCATTTAGGAACACTGTGTCATCAGTGCCATTAGGGTTCCCTGAAAGCTCTGGAGAAGAATGCACCACTTACACCCAGAGGGCCTCAGGAGTTTTCTCAGATATGGAAGTACCAATTGATTTCCCCACTTCTATATGCCAAGGTCAGAGAACAGTTTCCTTCTGCGAAGCAGGTCTGTTAAAGGCACCGGAGCAGTCCTATGCCCCAGCCCACGTCACATCAGGGTTGGCAGGTGTGACGGGGAGCACTGCTGCGGGAGAATGGGTCTTTTGGGGCACAGGAGTTCTTAAACATTTTTGTTTAATTTCACAGTGGCCGACAGCCTGGTCTTCCGCATCCTGGGACAGTGTGAGCTGAGGCGGCCAAAGACGTAAGCAGCTATTTGCACACATGCTACCTCAAGGACATGGCCATGTACGACAGAACCTGCTCAGGTCCCCTGGGGAGAGCCCAAGTCAACCAGTGGCTGGGTGAGGAGACGGAATGGACTCCCAGCTCTAACCACAGAGAAATCTTGACCACAGCACCCATCCACCCTCCAATCCTGGAAAACCTGACCTTGCATTTTAGGCAAAGAACTGAAAACAAACTGCAATAATTTCAAGGGAGTCTTAAACATTGAAGAGCTAATGATTCCACGGTAGAGACAAAAACAGGGATGGGGGGAGAGAGAGAGAATCAGCAAGGATCACTGAGTGATAGGAGTGAATCAAGCAGGTGAGGGAACTTCTTCAGGGAACAAGAGAGGGAGGGGGCTGACAGGGTACACGGAGCCCAGCTCAGGGCAGGGCGGGGCCTTCGAAGCGTGTTGAATGGCTGTGTCTTACTGGGAAAGGAGCAGAGACCCCGGGGACAGCTGGAGACAGGTACCCACAGGTACTCCCATACCTCTACATCCCATATATGGGATACAGGAACCATGTCCAGGCAGGGACAAAAGAAAGCAAGGTCTTGCTTCTCGGAGAGGGAAGAGGAGCGCGCAAACCCTAAAGAGGCTCTAAATGTCAACAAACCCAGCATGTGTGTCCTAGGAGTGTCGCTGATCTGGACAGACCAGTGGGCCCCCAAGCATTTAGTTCCTACAATGCCTCTTACCTTGACATTGGTATCCCTGCTTTCCTATGACACCCCTGAAAAGAAGAATACAACCTTTTAATAAATTTTAGTAGGTCAAAAACCACACAAAGCCACGCCCTTCTGGCCACCAGCCACGATGCACCAAGTAGACTAGAATCCAGACAGCAGCGGGATTTCACTTCCTCTTGCAGAGCGCCTTAAAGTGACTCCTTCAGGGTGCCTGGGCGGCTCAGTTGGTTAAGCCTCTGCCTTCTGCTCATGCCACCAACCGGCAGTCCTGGTAGTGAGCCCTGCTCATCACAGGGCCTGCTTCTCCCTCTTCCTCTGCCCCACCCTCCTGCTCCTTCTAAGTAAACAAATAAAATCTAAAAAAAAAAAAAAAGACTCCTTCAGAGGCAACAGAGGTTAGAGCCAGCGTTTGGAATGGGTACAAAGCCTGGTCAGTGTCAGGGTTTGGTTTCCTAGACCAACAGCCATTCCAGTGGGGCCATCAGTGTTCTGGAACGCCACAAAGACTCTGCTCACTCAAGGCAAGTCTTGATCGGTCGAACATGGCAGGTAATCATGTAGGAGCGCTCTAGCTTACAGGCATATTCCCTGGGCACTCCAGAAGCAGTCAAGGGTTCTAGGTCGGTCTGTGGCCAGGGCTAGGGGCATTGGTCAAGGGCAATGGCAGAGGTTCCTTCCCTGGCAGGTGTCAGCTCCCCTGGGGCAGGGTTAGGGTCAGCATGGACACAGAACAATCCAACCAATCTGGCCTGGGCCCTGTCCTCAGTGACACCACCAACTGGCCAAGGAGCAATCTGCCATTTCCAGCCCAGTGGGAGCTGCACCTTGGGAAGCCTAGAACCCAGTGGTGTTCGCCATGCGCTGAGAGGAGACCTGAATCCATACATCTCAGCTTCCACAACATACTCCCTCCAAACACACAACTCATGACAGAAATACAGAAAACAGAGGTTAGAGGGTGGAAGCAGTGCCGGGGATGAGACGTTTCTGTGATGGGACTGGGGCATTATTCCCACTTCCAACAGCCTGAGGGTGCTCTGAGCTGCACCACCACAGATGTCCATGCCAACCTCAGTGACTAGTTCTGGAAAACCACAAGGACAAGACAAGCCACTCCTGCACACCTTGGCAATTCAAAGTCTAATTCAAATGATCCTTCGCTTGGTTTGTGCAGCAGATTGGCCTCACTTATTCTCCCCCACAGGATCCAAGTGTGTTGGCAAAGTTCCAGAGCTCAGAGAGGTTGTCAGGAAGGCTGGTGGGAGGTCTGGAACAGCTTTTTGCTGGGCTCACCAGGGGTGGAAGTGGGTCTCTGACACCTCCTAGCTGGAGGACGTCACACTAGTCTCGTTTTCCTTTCTGAGTCTCAGTACTGTTGTTAATGGAGTGGCTTTAATAATACTTAGCTTCTAGGACACTAGGATGATTTAATTAGATATTCTCAGGGCCTAAGAAAAGACCTGGCACATGGTAAGCATTCATTAAGATTCCCCCACCAATACCCAAGGCCAGTGCTCCTTATCCTTCTCCATCTCCCAAAAAGGCCTACAACCTACCTGTCTTTGCCTATCAAAATCCTAGTCATCATGAAAGGAGAAATGCCACCTCTTCCAGGAAGCTTTCCCTAAGCACTCCAGCCAATGCTGCTCTCTCATTCCTCTGAAATCTGGGCATCCTAGTAGCACCACTGTTGTAACAGTTATTAAGAACTGCTTTGAATTACAGATACTGGCAATCAAGTATTTTTTAAGCTTTATCATGGGAAAATTCAGATATATACAAAAATAAAGAGATAAATGTAAGGGACCTATAACCAGCTCTAACAATGATTAATGCACAGCTGGTCTTATTTCATCTCTACCCCTAGCCCCTCTGCCCTCCTTCCAGATCATTTTTAAACAAATCCCAGACATCACATTATTTCATTTCTAAATAATTAAGCTTGTGTCTCTAAAAGATAAGAACTCCTTTAAAAAATACATCACAACATGCCACTATTGGTTATAAAATCTTAACTCGTTAAACATCATATATGATATGATCCTAAGCATAAAGTCACCATTCTTCCGAGTTATCCCCCCAGGTACTAAAGACTCACTAAGCCTTCCAGAAAAGTCTTCTGCAATCAAATGAAGAAGAAATAAAGCCCATCAGCACTTTAAAAATAAAGTTTCTCTTCTCCTACAACCCCCTCCCCCATGTCTCACCTCAGGGAAGTCCTCACTAGAGGTTCCCAGGAGAGAGGGCCTTACCAGATAAAATCTCTGCAGTGGGAGCAGTAGGTGGGTTGCCGAAGGTAGGTAGCCATGAACTTGTGGCCGTTGACCTGGTGGACCCTGCGCCTGACAGCCCCCTGCCTCTTCCTGGGCCGCATGCGCTCCCTGAACACGCGCTCTTCATTGTCTTTAGGGGCTGGGGAAGGACAAGAGCAGAGAAGAAAACACAGGGTTAGTACACCTGGGAAGAGACCTCCTACCCCACTCTCAGTGCCGGGAGCAGGAGCGGCATGGGCGGGAGTATCCACGGGCTGAGGGACTGCGGGGTCTGAGCCTCACCGCTCAACCCCAGCGAGGGCGCACCATGAGAGACAGGAAGGCCAGACCGGGCCGCCATTTCCCATCCCAGCGGCACCCCTGAATTCATCCAGATCCCAGTCCTGACCCTGGTGTGGCTTCTCCATTGCCCCCGGGGAAGCAGCTGCACACTGCAAGGGTGTGGGACCAAAAGGCTCAAGGTTCACATTTTATCACAGCTGCTCGGCAGCCAGGCCTTAGCCAGCCAGTGCGTCCTTGCCTGGAGCCTCTAAGGGCCCAGCCCTCTGGAAACGGGGTACAGTGCTGACACCAAGGGCACTGTGGAATCTGCACCCAGCTCCCTGGCTCAGAGAAACCGGACTTTTCTTCCTTCCCTTTCTTCTGGACTAGGATAATCAGGAACCTTTTCCTGAAGGTCAAAAGGAAACAGAAACTTAACACTGGGAAAGCAGTTTTCCAGAAGACTCAGACCCACCACCATGGACTTTACGACCTCACTGAAGACAAAAGGCTTGTCCTCACTTCTTCCTTGGGTCCACATCAGAGGCTGCCCCAAGCCTCAGAGAGTCCTGCAAGGGTGCTAATAAGCGACCGCAATGCTTGTTATGGTCTGAATGATTGTGCCCCGCTCTCCCATTCACGTGCTGATGTGCTACCTGCCAGTGTGACCCAGTCATGACAGTGAAGTTCCCATGATAGGGTGAATGCTGTTAAGAGGACGTGACCGGAGCTCACTCACTATCTGACGAGGACCCGGAGAGAAGACAGATGTCTACAAGGCAGGAAGGGGGCCCTCACCCAACCGTGCTGACACCTTGATCTCAGACTTTCAGCCTCCAGAGCTAGGAGCAAGAAATTTCTGTTGCTGGAACCACTCTGTCTACAGCATTTTGTTCCGGCAGCCCAAGCAGACCAATACGAGGGTCACACTTAATGCTAACTGAGGGCTTACTCTGCGGCAGGTGCCCACTGTACCTTCACAGCAGCCCTTCTGAAAGGTGATCATATCCACACTTCACAGGTGTGCAAATTGAGGAATAGGAAGTTCATATAACCAGTTTCTGTTAGCACAGCTACTAAGTGGTGGAGCCCAGATTCTAACCCAGAGGGTGGGGGAGAAGCCAGTGTTAACACTGTCCACGTGCCGCTCTGGGCGACAGCCTACCCTCCCGACAGCAAGGTCCCAAAGTGCTCAACTGAGGGGCTCTTACAACGCAAGAGTCCAGTGGCCTCTGGCTTCTCCAAGGGCAGAGGGGAGGCGCCTGGTTCCCAGCACTAGTGCTGGCCCTGGAAGGTGGCCTGCACGGCACAGCTTAAAATTCACTGGGAAGGGTCCGTGCCCCCCAACCCCAGGTATCCCCCACACCTGACATGCCACCATGACAGTGTCAGTCTTGGGGTGAGAAGGGCACCTGTGTGAGCCCAACAGCTGGAGGATCTGAGGGCAGTGTCTGTCAGTGGGGACTGGGCAGGGGTGGAGGGACACCGCACTAGAGGAAGAGAAAGGCAAGAATGGGGAGCACATGCCCAGTAGGGGCTTTTAGGGGGAAGAAGCCTCCAAGCAGACAGGCAGAGCTGCTGATCCCCAGCACAGACACTGATGACCTAGACGGGGGTCTGCCTGCCACCCCTCTGTTTCCCCACCCCCAGCCAGTCTGGGCCCCCTTTTGAATGGGTGCTTTTTATATTCCAAAAGGTCTCTGACCTGGAAAGAGATGGAGTATGCAAATCCTACCTTCTACCCTGCCACAACCTAGGGACCAAGGCCCAGCTAATTAGATTCTCATGGGAATGTCCCAGCTCTGCTTTAATATAGAGACATGTACACACACACAGAAATCTGGCCATCAACACCCAATTGTCCAATGACGGGTGACTTCTATTTCTGCTGCCTACTTTTCACTATATCCAGAATATTCTACCACATTTAGAAGTAGAAGAAAAATATATGGTAATTAAAAAAAAATATTCACTAGCACTTCCTTACTACAAACCTGATCTACAAAAATCCAGACTCCAATCTCCACGCCTGGGCAGCTGAGACCGGAGGATAAGCATTCAACCACCTGCCTTTACCAGATTCACCAAGTGTCACATTTAAACAGTAAGTCAGCCCCTCATGCATTTAAGGTGCAACTTGCTTTGCAAATCCCTCAAATTTACTAGTCATTTGATCCTGGGAAGTTATATTTTCTGTGAAACTGCTGAGGAGTCCTATCTAGTTTTCTCAAGGGAGCCCAGCTAGAACAGGGTTACGGGTATCCCCAAGGGCCTCATTTCTCAACTTTTTACAGAAATGACCAGCAACCAAATTGAAGGTCTAAACTCTGTTTACTTTGATTTAATACGTTAACATAGCAACCTGTTAATTTAACTGACTTATAAAGACCTCCTAGTTGCATGCACTCACGCCTGGAGAGAAGCTGCTTCCTACTGGTGGGGGGTGAGGGGAGGGTCCTGGGAGGAGGTTAGACAGAGAACCAAGGATAACTCCCCTTAAGTGGGGTCTGATTGTCTGACTGAACTTCCCCAAAGGTTCTATAATTCCTGCTCCAGAGCACAGGTGCACTGCCTTGTAAGAGAGATTCGACATCAAAGATGTGGGGAAACAGAAAGCTATAGGAGAGGGAAACACAGGTAAAACTCATGCCCCCCCCCATGGGGACCTCCCCACCCTCCATGTGCCAAGCAGCAGGACAGGCAAGAGGAAAAAGGGGACAGGGGCCCCCAGTTGGTAAAAATCGTCCCATCATCCATTCCTCTGGACAGGGGAGCCAAGGGTCCAGCCAGACAGTCTTTGTGCCTATCACCCACATGCCTAGATCCTGAGGGGAGCCCCAGCACTCCCCAGCCCCACAGAACCTCCCTGCTGGGGCCTGGAGTCACCAGCAGAAACAGATCCCATCAGCATTTCCTGCTGCTGTCAAGGATCTCCATTAAAATACAGTTCCTATGGGGTAATGCATCACGCACGTGTGTGCATGTGAGTGTGTGATGTGAATGTGACAGATTTATAAATGAATATAGATGTGGATATAAAAATCAATACGGTATCTATTAAATATGTTGTGAATAACTTCTATAATTTCTATATTTATATAATACAGGATAATAGTGTATTACATTTATTTACATCATGAGCATAACTGTATTTTGTAACTACAATATAATTAATACTATAACATGATGTTATAATTATACTCTTAATATATAATATAAAATATGATGCAAACATAGTTTGACTAAACCATTTGAAGGTTGCAAGCACAGTAACACCTTACCCTAAAATATATCAGCCTTCATCTCCTAAGAACAAAAGCATTCTCTTAATAACCAAAGTTATCAGAGTCAAGAAACTTAACACTGATATGATATTATCTAATATATGGTTCATATTCAAATTTCTCCAACTGCCCCCAAAATGCCCTTTATAGTTGTGGCCTTAAAATTTTTCAGAAGTGGGGCGCCTGGGTGGCTCAGTGGGTTAAACGACTGCCTTCGGCTCGGGTCATGATCCTGGAGTCCAGGGATCTAGTCCCACATTGGGCTCTCTGCTCAGCGGGGAGTCTGCTTCTCCCTCTGACCCTCCCCCATCTCAGGCTATCTCTTTCATTCTCTTTCAAATAAATAAACAAAAAAAATTTAAAAAAATTTTTTTCAGAAGCTACTTAAAGCTCTTGCTTTGCCTTTAGTTGCCACACTCCTTAGACTTTTCAATCTAGAACAGCTTTCTTGTTTCCTTTTTATGATACATTTATGAAGAGTTGAGGATGCTCTTACAGAATGTTCCACAATCTGGATTTGTCTCATTCCTCCCCATTAGTTTCACGTTAAATGGCAAGAATACCACAGAGGTATAGGTACCAATGAATCCAAATATATCCATCAAGATCCCTAGAGACACCTGTGTAAATGACATGAAAGTAAAACTTATAGGAATTATAAAATACTCGCTCTTAGTGGGAATTTTTAAAATGCAAAGAGCAGTCTTGACATTCCACTGACCCACCACTGAATACATAGTAACAAGTTTGTTTTAAAGTGGTATTATCCGTATTATACATATGCAATGTGATGCAACATTTCCAGAAACAATACTCTAATGATAGCAAACAACACACAAAAAAAGTCACATCCTTTAACTTTGGGATTCCCACTACGTCAATAATTACACAGAAACTAAAAGCTATATACTTATAACTTGCAGATGTTCCCCCATTGCTGTCTATTTTGACCAACAAACAGAAGTAACTGGACCATTGTACATTAAGAGAATGGTCGGACAAATTATAGCACATTTATAGCAAGTTAAAAATGGTGAACTAAGACCTTGCGGGATTATGGGGAAATGGGATACAATACGGTAAAAACAGAATGTGCACGCTCACAAACCTCTGTAAAACATACTTGCAAATTGAAGGTAACGTAAAAGAATTATTGTGCTCTGTTAGGATGATGGGTTTACATACTGTCTGTAGAATTGGAAAACAACGAGCTCTGATGCTCTTTAGTGACTTCTAAGAGAGGTTCTCTGTGCCTGTGCATCCTTCTTGCTATGGAAGGGGGAGGGCTCCTCAGTATAAACAAGGAGAAGGCACTAGATGTTGCACTGGGCAGGGGGACAGGTCCAATTTTGACAGTCCGCAGCTGCCAGTGCTCCTAGACTGAGGGAAGAGCTCCCCTGACCTGCCCCCAAGCCCACTGCAAAGGATGCCTGGTGCTGTCACTGCGTGCACCCTGCTACAGCCACCTGGTGTGACCCTTCCTTTGCAGCATCCTCAGAGGCAAAACTCAGGCTGGCTTTCCTCCCAGAGAGCCCACTGGGCTCTTTCCAGATCTTTTGTTTGATGGGTGCATCAGCCATGTGGCAGAAGGGGT